ACTTGGAAAAAAAAAAGTCATGGTTCCCACTCCACTAAGGTTTTATAAAACAGGGTGAGAAGAAAAATTCATTTGGTATCTGCTGCCTTGTATGTTCAGGCAATGCAGAAGCAATGCTCAGAAAAACTCTACTGTCTCTTTCTGGCTGGTTTATGAGGTTCCAAATGCCTCTGAAATGGCTCATTACAAACCGGGTCAGAGTAGGACACTTGGTGACCTCCTGAAGTTCACTTGCCAGGGATGGGAATGCTGGATTGGTCTCGTCAGTTCAAATTCCCTTCAGAGACAAATCCTTGAGCCCCTTAATTCTTCCTCCAGGGAAGCAGGGCCTGGCAGTACTATCTGCTTGTTTACACTGCTGGTGTTAACTGCTTCCTCTCAACTTGCCTCTGCATTCTGTCTCCTCTACAGTTCATATTAAACGAAATGCTGAACAGACAGCCCTAGTCATAACATTCGTGCACTTACCTTCACTAGTGACTAATCCCTCCTGGAATCCTTTCCGGCTGGAAGCCAGCATAACCCAAGCATCACACAACTTTGAGAGGCCAGTCCTGATGACTGTTGTACAATTCACTGCAGTGCAAGACCCTGCCCTTGCATCTTTGCTACTAGGAATTCAACCTTGTGATATGCTGAGCATGTTTCTTTTCAGTGACCCCACTGCCATATGATATCAGACCTTTAAGAAGCCACTGAAGCCTCAGTGGTCACCTCTTGAATTATTGATGTTGCCACTTAATGAGGTATGTGTGTGTGTGTGGGTGATCCTCCTTTGTTTATCAAAAGGTTTGGCATGAATACAGAAAAAGAAAAGCCTGAGAAAAGACAGCAAAAAATGTAGGTCCTTAGAACAGGATCACATACATTCCACACAGACCCCTGGCCTGGCTTGGTGTCTGCATGCAAGTGGTCCCTCTCTGCCACAACTGTTGGTCAGGCAATCCCTGTAGATGGAGAAAGGCAGCAGAGGTCTTCAGTGTCAGTGCAGAGAAAAAGGCCTTCCACTGGGTTGGCTGTGGCTTCTATCTGAACAACCTGGTGGCTTTTGAAGCAGACAGAACTGCATCCCATCACAAGATGTCTTGATCTGGCATTCACAGAGTGAATGAGGAGTGATTAAAAGTCTTTTAGCTACCAGGCGAGTCCACTCATCTTTGACAAAAGGCACTGCTGGGGACTTGTGTCCCTAAAAAGGTCACCACAGGATACAAAATGTAGAATGAACAGGTCTTCTGCGCAAGGCACACTTAACATGTTGCCATAGAAACCAGTTACTTAATTCAGGCATACACAATTCTTCCAGCCCCCAGTGAATTCCAGTAATGGGTTTATTATATCACACTTCATTGGTGTCATCTGTCACACAGACATTCACATAAATGAACCAGCCTTTGATTCAAGACTCCCTTCCACTAGCTAGACCCAACAGGGGAAGGGTCTCCTTTTGGGTCTGGTGGTTATAAGCAGGTCAGTGTTCTAACTCACTTTGCATGCTAATGTCTTCCTTTCATGCAAACATCATCTTTGGTGGAGGAGAACATTTGTTTTCATTTCCCAATATTCTAGTTTATTAAAAATGTGCTTTTAATCTCTCAGATCCTTGAGTGCAGGTTGAAACATTTGGGTCCCTGTTTCCCCCATATGATGTTTGAATTGTAAGTCACACTAATGTCTGATACAACATTGCGGTAATTTCTCCTTTTGTTTGGGTCAGAGTTTTGATTTATACTAGCTAACCTGAAGGCTCCTTTGAGGCTCCATGGCTATGTAGTAGAGAGTTTTTAAATTAGAAAAGCAGATGGATGGACAAGAAGGTAAAAAAGGTCTCAGTTGATGCATAAGACTCCATGCAAGCATTGCCTGTAGATGCACTTAAGTAGATGAACAAACCTTATAAAGGTGGGGTTGGTTTTAGTTCATGATATTACGTTGGAGGTTGGTGTACCAAAGCTGATGAGCATAGGAGTAACTATTCTCCCTTAAAAATAGGATAAAGATTAGAAGTACTTGTTTCCCATTTAATATATAATTTCTTATAGTGATAGAAGTCAACAGGCAAAACATAGGGTACTTAACAGGCCAGTCAGGACTTAAGACATGTTAGTGGAGGATTTTCACTGATAGGTGTTTTTAAGTATAGGAAGTTAGGTGTTGATTTTGTGGTGCTTCATATGATATGTAGGCAATTGGCAGGGAATAAATTGCTCCTCCTCCTAGACCAGAAATCATAAATAAAGCAACTTTATTGCCAGAAGAATTAAGATGGGGGGATCTAGGATCTCAGATAGATAGATTCTAGCTGCAGAAATACTCTGGATCTGAACAGGAGTAAGGGATTCAGTAAATGCTGGAGTAAAAGAAAACTGCAAAAGAGACATTATGAAGATTCCTTTTGTGCCCTGTTAAAAAGGACTTTGTGTCTCTTCTCCAAGTGAATAGGACAATGCCCAAGAAAAACCTGAGTGTCATGCAGTGCTTCAACCCCCTCAGTAGAGAAAATTGGCATTTATCTTAGAGCATTAATTAGCATTTAAGTTGGAATGGTTTTGATCATTTCAGAAATGTTGTCAGCTTGTGATGTGAGCTCCTCAGCAATCCAAGGCTTAGCCAGAATCAGTAATTGGATAGGTCAGGGTGGAGGGGAAAAAGCAGCAGAGAAGGCTGCAGAAAGTAGTAGTGGGGATTCCATCAGCTTCCTTCCAAGTCAGTTGTGAGTCAGTGCTTGAGGGGATGCCCTGCTGACATTTGTGACATCTTTAAAATAAGGTGTAAAATTGCAGTTCTGAGGTACGTGGGCAAAGCTCCTGTGAGACTTGTAGTAAGAGTAGCAGTGTCACTCAGGCAAATCTGATCAGGTGTCACTTAAAATGACTACACTCTGCCTTCCTTTATTTTCATTCACAAAAGAATCTGCTGCATCATATTGCTGACCTGAAAAGCCTGATGCTTTTGCACCCTTGCCATAGTGACATTTCATGGATTGATTAGGAGATCTCTGTAAAGTCTGTTCAGAACTTCAGAATCCTTTGGGGTTAATGTGCTGTGAAATAATATTTGCCTTGTTCTCTGTTAAGTCACCATACATACTCCTTTGTGCTGCTTTACAGCTTCAGCTCTCTGTCCTGTGGAGGAAGTGACCTCTGTATGTATTCAATTCATGTAACAGTTCATGAAAATATTTGGGATCTGCAAGGGTATGACCTGTAAATATATGACTGTATTGTTTTCTATCTGCTACCACAGTGTAGATTGATTAAGCATACACATTTTCAGTGTAGTTGCTGCCCAAGTTGACAGAATCATTTTGATACTTGTAATACAAAGACTTGTGTTGGATGAATGTTTTATTATCTGATTTTCTGCCATCCACTTCTCAGATTTGTTGTAGCAGCAACACATGGTCTTAATGATATTCCCCAAGGTTAAGTAAGCACAAAAGCCAACATAGTGCAGGGCAATGGGGGATACTGTACTAGAGAAGGAAGAGTTGTTTTGCATTTAAAGCCAAGGCATTTTCCTCAGACCCTATATTCTGTTCCTTACTCAACCAGAATTTTCCTGTTTTACCACAAAACACTTCACCTTTTTGTGCTGCTCTTTCCCCGTCTGTGAAATGGCAACAGGACCCCTATATGTGTGCTGAAGATCATTAAATGGATCTTGCAAAGTACTTCCAGATTTTTGATTGGAAGGCACACAAGAGTGGAAAACTTTATTAGTTGCCTAGATTCTGTATTGACGTGGCAAACTGTAATCTCTCTACAGAAGACATTTGGATGTATTTGACTTAAATGTATCATGATAACTGACCAGCATAATTACTACTCCAGGAACAAGACAGTTTTGTAGTCAGATGATCTGCTCCAGATTTCCAATATGCAGATATTTCCCAGCCTGTTGTGCAAAGATGAACTCAGTCTCTCCTTACTGCTGTTCCCCTTCCTCAAGTATAGTACAATAGTTTATTTTCTCTCGAGTGCATTCTGAAGTGCACTGCTGAAACCACTGTGGGTTTTGAAGCCTATCTGGACCATTCACCTCACTCCTGAGCTTAATTTGCAGCAAAGTATTACTGCCAAACCTGCATGATCACTTCAAGACAGGGAAACCAAGAGCATTGTGACTTCTCTAAGGAAGAGAGAAGGAAGTGAAAGGACTCCAGCCCCTGTTGTGACTATAGGAATGTCTTATAATCTCCCTTTCTGCCTCTCCTCTGTAAAATGATACCAATGATATTTACCATCTTTCCCATCTAAACTGTTTCAAGATTCATGAATGAAAAGGGTTATAACTAAGTATCTGATTATTAAGCAGTTGTTAATGTTGTCAGAAGAATTTATCAGAGCAATTGTACATTCGTTTTAAAAGAAAGCCTTCTGCATATGTTTAATAGCACATCAGAATGTTCACACCAAGGGAGGTCCTTTTCCTACTGCTGACGACCAAAACTTGGCTGCTCACTTCCACTTCCTGTTTCTAAACAGTTTCATTTCTGGAGCCCGCAGCCTGATACAACCAGAGGGGTCACCCACAGCAAGAAAAGTTATATTAAACTTATGGAAAGGATGTATTTAAAAGTCATCCAATCATCTAGGACTTTTTATATGGCGAAGAAAAAGAAAGACCGTGCAGTTCATGTCATCCTAAAGTAGGAACACAGTTTGGATAAATCAGACTCTACAAATGTGTATTTCCCTATGTCTATTTTGTTGGAATTCTAGTTCAGTTATTGGCATCTGCAATGTAAAATTAGGCAATGTTAATCCTATCCTGTGCAATTCTCATAAAAGAAATTTATTAAAGCATTTCCATACATTTTCATCGGTATATAATTTCTCTTCTTCTTCCCCTTTATTTTCTTAACACAAAGCCTTTGGGGATGGGCTACCTTTCTTAATTTATATGCACAGTATCTCTTTGAGCACATACTCTCTGATTTTCAGCCAGTCTTCAGTTGTTTGACATTAAACTTAGTCCAAACTTCAGTTATTGCTTACCTCTCCTCTGGTGCAGGGCACTGCATGTGAATACCTGGAAGTGCACATGGAGCTCTCCTCAATGACATCATCCTGGAGCCCAAAAGTCGCTGTACAGTTGACAGAGAAATACTTGTAGGGCCTCCAAGTTTGCCCATAGTCCTGGGATCTTTCCAACACCATCGCAGCTGGGCGAGGTGATTTGAACACAGCAATGACATGGGTCAGGTAGAATTCTGTTTCAAAGTCCAGTCTGATTTCTTCCCTGTGTACGCCTTGGGCAGACTGCCACCAGGAGATGGGGTTTGCAAAGAAATCATCTGTCATGTCAGCAGGGAGATGCGAGTTATCAGGCTGGTTGGCATTACATTTGGTGCAGCGAGGATGCCCGCAGCCATGGGAGACCTGATGGAGGAGATTCTGGTCTGGGTAGAAGCAGTACAGTTCTGTACTGTTCTGGCCACACGTGGTGAGAGTGACTGGTGTCCTCCCTGTTGCAAGGTTTCCCACTGGAGGGTTGCAAGAACGGCCATTACAGCGGAAGGCTCGTAGCCTTGTGGGATCTGAAAGACAGGCAAAAGAAACACAACTAAGTCTAATTTTGTCTAATAGTTCTCAGGCTGTAACACAGGTGACCATGCAGATGTTTGGAGTTCTCATCTGGGGATTGACATCCAAGAGGACTCCTTCTAAAGAGAGCTACTTCATCTTTTCACACAAAGTTTGGAGGGAGTTTCTAAATAAATGTAGCCCTTGTTTTTGATGCCTAACTCAGAAACTGAAGTCTTTAGAAAACTCATGCTTATGGCGCTTAATTTTGATCCCTGTTGTGTTGGTCTATTGAATTTTATGTTTAACCACAGAAATCTTGTGTTTTCTTATTTTCACTCTAGTAAAGCTCTGTATGTTAGGACTGAATCTATTCTATGCATTTATTTTCACTGTTACCAGAAAGCAAAGTCAAACTGTACTATACACTCTAGATACATTAAGAAAAGACATGATTCCTGCCTAACAAATTACAGACACAAATTACACATACAAACACATAAAGAAAGCATATATTTCTGTAGTTATGCATTACTGGCATAATTTTGAGGTGTGTTGATTTTCTGCTGCTCCTATTGAGATCAGTTGGAGTTATTAATACTTAGCAGAGCTGAAAATCAAGTCTTTCTGTTTAAATACTTTGACATGGAGGCAGATGACTATATTCTGTTTGCCAAGTTTGCAAATACTGGCAAATTTTTGTTATCTTCAATGCGTATATCTACTTATTGCTAAATAAAGAAAAGGTAGGGATAACTATTGTTTGGCAATCAGTAGTGTCTTGTGACACTGGAATTAAAGGTCATTCCAAAACCTTATTAGCATACTGGAGAAAACTGCTTTTCTAATGACATACAGTGTCCTCTTTCCAACTTAACAGCCTAGAAGGAGTTAAAGACTGACCTTGCAAGGTCATAAATCTAATCCAAGAGGTCACAAGTCAGATGACTAGATGTAAGTCCTACAGGAAATGACCCTTCCAATGAAACATAGGATGACTGTAAACTCTGGGTAATGTAGGAGCAATTTGAAGGTCAGCTATTAGTTCAACATTCTAGGTCAAATTTTTAAATCCCTACTTGGTTTATATTCAGCCTTTCCTCAGGCAAAATTAGTTTTAAAATCAAGTTAGGTCAATAAAAAGACTGTCTAATTCAGCCTTATAAAAATACTCAAATTGTAAATGTAGTTGGATGAACCTCTTTCCAAAAGGAATGTTTAAGATGAAAAAATGTGTCCAGCATGCATGGTTTTGCCTCTGAGTTGCTTCTGTCCTTAGTTCCTTAGTGACATTTCTGCACAGGCCAGAAGAGAAAGGTCAGAGGTGGACACTGTTTTGGAAAACACTTCATGCATTTTGCTTCCTAGGATTAGGACACGAAACAAAGTTGCTGTGTGTCCACTGAATCCCATTGACCAATGGTGTGCATAAGGTAGCCTTAAACTTCAGCTAGCAAGGAAGTAGATCATCCAAAAATGCTCTTGACTACTCTTAGAAACAGGTGGAAGTCACCTTCAAAGGAACTTGGACTTAATGTGTGTTTGCCTTACAGGCATTGTAAGCAGCAGCCTCAAAGAAAGACAGGGTCTCTGGAGACACAGTAGGTTTCTTCCTGATGGAGATTGTCTTCTACCAGTGGCTGGAACGGGCTGGCCAAGATTTTTTTTAATATCCCAGTGAAGTCCTAGGAAATTGGCAGAGCTTAGAGGGCAGCAGTGCCTGAATTACATGTGCACCTAATAGTCCTCAGATCAAAGGAATGAAAGCTGCCCCTCCTCAGTCCCACCACCACTCCCTGTGCCAGCACAGAGATGAATTTTCATGAGAGAGCAGGAGTTGCAGATGTTAGCTGGAGAGGAAAGGAGAGAAGATGGGGATGTTTGTCTCTATCAGTTCTGTTCTTTGCTCCCTAACTTCAACAGAGCAGGTGATTCTTAGCACTACTGGTGATCCTCCACCAAGCCATCACACTATCCTGACTGCTTGATGACCATTTCCATATATTTTCTTTCTGATTATGAACTTCTTATTCCATTTGAGCCTAGTGCAGTTACAGCGGAACACCAGGAGCTTCAGAGATTTTATCTGGGAGGTTCCTTGCAATTTCTCTGAGTCTTTTTGTTGGGTTTCCACAAAAGTTGTGTAGAGCTTCCTCCTTTTTGCGTAGCATCTGAAATTCCAAATTTTTGTCTGCTCTGGAGGGTGAATTTCACTGAGTCATGCAGAATTCTTGAAATAAAGACAAATCTATCCTTGCAGGTCAGCAAAAATATAATGAACTACAACTGCATGCCTCAAGAATGTCTTTGCAAGTGGCATTTATGTTCATGTTCATGTCCAAGCTGTTAGGTAAAAATTACTGGAAATAAAGAAAGCACAGCAATTTCTGTGTTTAAAGTAGATTGGATATTAACTGATTTTGCTCAGTGCTGCAGAAAGGTGTCATCTTTGCCTCCAGAAGAATTTAAGTGGAAGTGGTCTTACAACTGAGCTTTGACTCGTCTTACAGCTGAGCTTTGAACAAACATTAGGTCTAAGAGTCAGGTTACTTAGTTTTGATTAAGAATGAGTCCATGTTACAAATGCTATTGGATTATGGATAAATATAACGTGTAATTAAAAGAAAGTCCATCTCCATTGGTGGATCACACCACTGAAGCTTTCATAGAGGAAATGGGATGCTGGAGTTCTAAATTTAGGGAGTTACATAGGGGAAGCTTTGCAGACAAGAATATGAGAAAGTAAAAAAGGAAACATTTTTTAAAGGGAATGGCTTCTTTTTGTATTTCCCATAAATGGGCTATTAGTCTTGTATTGACTTTTTCAGCTGCTTTTATCTGAACCTGGAAAAGGAAGAAAAACATGGTTGTTCTCCTGAACAACATTCACAAGAAGGTTTATCTGGTCTGCCTGCTAATGCAGCAACATCAATAAACAGTTCCTGTCTGAACTGCTGTGTCATTAGGAAAATGGGAGAAGAACAAAGTGCAAATTAGCAGAAGGGAGTTTGAGAGGAGAGAGATTGGAAAATAGAATCTGCAGTCGATTAAAAGCTTTGCATTTAAAGAAATCAATTGGCAGAACATTGCTTGGCCACAAGGATAGCACAGCCTGTCCATCACTCGCTGATTCTGTGGAAACAACGTGAAATGTTGAATCTGGACAGCGAGGGGGGACTGCTGCAGAAGAGAAAGAGCAGCCAGGCAAACAAACAACTTAACTTACCCAACTGCCAGGAGGACTCATTGAATAATTCATAAAGAACTAAACAGTTTGATTGTGCATGGGCACTGCATATTGCTATGAAGTTGATTAGCTTTTACTCCATGGAGGATGGCTTGGCTCCATAAATGGTATGATTAATTTATTTGTTTGTTTTCTGGTCCCTCAGAGCTGTGCCACAAAGCGGCAGGTCAATGGCACATGCCTGGCACATGTTATAACAATGGTGTTATCCAATGATTAGGGAATCATACAGTTCAAGGGAGGTCATACTATTGATATTCCTGGGACACTATTTGAAGCAGAGATCTCCTACTTCAGAACTCTGTAATGCAACAGAACATTATAGACATTAACTAAAAACAGGTTCCATTTTTTAGGGGTTTTTTTTCACCATCCGTTGGATACTTGACAGAAGAAAGGTCATATGGCAACTCAGTCAAAGCCTGCTGATGTGACTGGAAAGATGACTAATATTTTCTGAGTGATTTGGAGTTTTTATTTCTTTTCCATGTGCAAATTTGTGATTTTGTGTGTTCAAGTCTCCTACAGTGAGACAAGAGAGTGAACTTCACAGTTCTGAGCAACATGTAAACATTAAAACCTTTGGCCATCTTCTGCTATGTTTTTGATGGAGCAGTTTCAGCATGTATGTCCAACCTGGATTTCACTTGTTCTATATCTGTTTAACTTTTTTCTTAATAATCAAAAACTTTTAAATGTTCTTTGAAAGCTAACCACTCTGGGGACATTAGTTGTTCAAGTTTTTATTAATTAGACCTAGAACTTTACTCCTTAGTGCTGGTTACAAGAGAAGTGCTATACAACCCTTTGGTTTGTCTGGGGCCAATTTGCAGTAAGTTTGGCAAGTCTTCATCCATTTATGAGTAGCCTGATGTATTTCTGCACTAAAATATTCCTGACAACTGGAGCTAATGATCCAGCCTTCATAAATACTCCAGAGATGAAGTTCTGAATATGCTACGAAATCAAGCTGCCTCCATGACCTGAGGCATGGACAGAAGAATAATATCCCAGGTCTGGGCTCTCTTCCATTGCGGCCAGTTGCAGTCTGCCTGCCCGCATCCCTTCTGGAGCAACAGTGAGCTCCAACGCCTACAGCTTCGTTTGCAGATGAGCTGAATAACCCCAGACCAGAAGAAACCAAACCTTGCTGATAATCAGGTCCTGCAATTGATTTTAAGCTTGGGGCTAGAAATGGCCATTTTTGACCAGATCATGCCCCCTTTTGGAGGGCTGCCATCGAGAGGAGAGATGGCCCAGGCACTGTTCCCCGGGGCACTGCTCACCTGGGCAGGTCCGGGGCTGGCTGGGGCTGAAGCAAGAACTCAAGCTGTTGTCAGTCCCGTTAACTGCCCCAGTATTCAAGGGTTTTCAGACCACCACAGAGTTTATTTGGGGGCAATAACACTCTTCACCTGCCTAAGGCTAGAGGAAGTATCACCCAGATGTCACACCTCACGATACAAAACCTAGATGACTTCTCCAGCAAAACCACTAAGGTTTTTTTTCCCTTGGCATTGCATCTAAAGATCTAAGGAGCCAGTCTTGACAACCCTGACTGTCTTCTCTGCACAGAGATGGCAGAAGGCAAATATTGTACTCCCCACAAATATTGTGCTCCTCACAAATATTGTACTCCCCACAAATATTGTGCTCCTCACAAATATTGTACTCCCCACAAATATTGTACTCCGTGTACTCCCCACACAACTGCCCCATCCATTTGTTTCACTTCTGACCAGGAGCGATCAACTATACGGCTGAAAAAGGAGTTTACTGTATAGGCTATTAAAGTATGTCAAAAGCATACTTCTCTGTACACCTCTCTGCTCAGGAAAAGACTGAGACTTCTAAATCATTTTACACAAATGGGCTAAGCACTGTCCGAACCAGCCTTAGTCTGAGCAGTACTGACCCTGCCTGTAACAGGACCTGTAAAGGTTCAAGGTTAATTCAAGATTTTTATATTGCTTCTAGGGGGGAAAACAAACAAACAAACAAAAAACCAAACACAAAAAACCCCATCAAATAAACAAACACCACCACCACCACCCCAAAAAAATGAACAGGTAACCCTTGTGCTTTCATAGGATGATGGTTTGTGCAACTTTTTGACCAAGCAGTGTATATTAATTTAAAGTGACATTGAATCCTTAGTGTCATCACCTTCAATATCCAATTATTTTGCTGTTATTCACTGTGTCCTACACCATTATTCTGAGTGTGTTTAGCTCCATACAGAACAGACTCCCTCCCCTCAAATTCACTTTCCAAGCAGTCAGCTGTGGGCTGCATTTCCTTGAAGATTCATTTTCACTTTGTGAATTGAATGCAGAGCAAATTTAGGGTAGTTTATAACAAGCTTTCTGCAACAGTATCAGCAACTTTACAAGACATCTCTGTAACGTTTCTGTGCTGTGTGTCAAACATACGTATCCTATAGGTAGAGTCCTAGCGTGGGAAACTGGTGAATGCCCAAGACAGTAAGAGGACTAAGGTACATGTCCTCCTTCCACTCATTCCCTGTCATGTTGTGATAGACAGCCTTTTTCCAAATGAGTCATTGGATTGTAAATTTATTGACAGGATTGTAAATTTATGAGCTGTTTTCAGTTTTTAAGAAAATATCTCTTGCAGTTAGGAAATCTGATGTCTGTGTTATCAGAAAGGTTCTAGCTAGGGAATGATCTGAGCTGAAGCCACCCGATCTGCCTTTGACTTTACTGGAGCATGCAGGGTAGCTGTTCCTGTCCTAATACTCTGAGCACACAGGTGAAATTTAAACCACTGCTACGCTTTCCTGTACAGAAAGAGAAATCCCAAGCCAGTATCTCAGAGGAAAAGGCACCAAGGATGTATTGTTGTTTTAGCAATAATTATTTTTATTTCTCTGACCTGATCTGCATAATTCATCTCTTTTAAACTTAAAGATGTATTAAACCATCACAGGAAAAAAAAATCTAATGCTTTGGTTCCTTTCCCTTAAGGAATTTATCTCCATCATAATCCAAGTATTTTTAGGACCCTATTACAGCTGTATCATTCCTATATATGCTTATTTGTACACCCACATATACACACACAACTAATCAACTCATCTTTCTGTCCTAATCCATTTTTCCTCTAATGCTAATCTTGTCCGCTGCATGTTAAATATTAATTCAGGGAATACACTGAATGAATGGACTGTCTTGCATAAATAGTAATTCCTAAACAGTGTCTCTGACTTTTAATGATGCAAAATGAAGTTAACAGACAATAATTCAGATTCCTACAGTGAAGCTGTCCAAGGATGTTGTTTCACTCTTGTCCTGCTACGAAGGCGGTGTTTCATCCTCAAAACAAATACCCAGCTTATCTCAATCCATCTACCTCTTTCTTTCTCTCTTACTTTTCTTTCATTCACAAAAATAATACACTTTTTTCTTTTAAGGATGTATAAAACTGTACATCCTATTACAAGTCTTTAGGAGGACACTGAGCTATAAAGCTGTGTATTGCAGGGAATAAGAAGCATTTGTATATACTGACTAACCCAGATTCCTTGTAATAATCCAATCTAAAATAAAGATGTTAACATGCATTTTTTTTTAACAAACAGATCTGATTTCTATTCCCTTTCCCCTTGCTAAACTTAGGATGAATTGTTTCATGAATGACAATATTGATATATTTTGCTTACCTGCTTCCCCATGGCCAGAAATAAAATATTCCAAGAACACAATCAGCATGATGCCTGTATGCTGCATGGCTGTCAGTAGAATATCTGTCCTCAGTGAAGCAAAAAAGAGCTGCAGTAATCTACAGGTTTGGTGCTTGCATGGCTTCTCTGTATTTTCTTTCTTTCTTTCTGCTCACCTTCCTCTCAGTGTAGGGGTCAAGGCTGCTGTCTCATTCTTCTTGTCGTTTGGGTCCAGAGGTGGGTTGGTTTTTTTTCAGGGCTCAGATGCCTTCTGGGTGTCACCCGTACATTGCTTCCAATAAATAAATAAATAACAAGGATTTTCTGTGTCTTCACCCCTCTCCATGCAGCAGGCTGGGGACATTCACATCCCTGAGGCAGCCCCTTGAATGCACCATCGAAGGCTGATGCGATGCAGAGAGCTCTGTTCTGTCCGGTCCTTTGCAGTTCTTTGGATGCTATTTCAAAACTTTCATTTCTACTCCTTGCTTTTGGTGGAGCTTCGTTTTGGCTTTGCCTGGGTTCCCCCTGGCAACCTTCCCTACCCCCTCACACCTCCCACAGCCTCCTGCTAACCGGGGTAGCGATGGGGTCTGGGCAGCGTGAACCCTGCTTTGTTAGGAGGTCTACCCCAGTACCTTCTTTCCCTTTGCTCCCTGCAGCAGAGGGTCATAAGAAGAACAGAGTTGGCTTTTCTCCCTGAGAGATGATGAGAAGCAAGTGCTTTCTTGGCTCTTCTCTCTTTTTTT